ACGTGGTGGGCTCTCGGCCAATGAAAAGGAAGAAATATTTGCATCGAATGATAATTGGTTTTGTGAGCAAAATATTATAACGGCTCTCATTCCATTTGGTACATTACGTCGACGTAAACTACACGACTACGACGTGAAACTTCAGTAATGAGTCGTGGACCTGGACACAAGACAACAAATTTTCCTTTTTCTTTAGAACTTGAAAAGAGCGCTCGAGAACCCAACTCCAGGCAAATTCGCCTACAGTTGACAAACTGAGTGCAGCTAAATTCATGCGATAAAATTTCAAAGAACGCAAATTCAGTTTTTTAGAGACGTTTTTACTGCCGTCGTCGTTGTGGTTGCTTAAGCTCTCAAATGTCAACTTCAGCTAAGCGAGAAGCAACAAATCCCGAAAGTGCTGCAATTTGACGAGTTATGGTAAGGGTTTACGACAAACAGGGGACAGCTACAGTGGGGGATCCCCAGGGATCAGCCCCCCCCCCCCGCCCTTATTTTTACACCAAGCTGAGGCCCGAAGGTCGAAATTCTCAAATTTACATTTTTGTTCAGAGAAAAAAAACCATCGATCCTTCCAGAAAGAGTACATTTGTGTCATTTTGACCCAATGAACAAAATTCTCTAGAAATTAAAGGCAACCATAAATGTTAATGTTAGTTTGGTAAAATGAGAAAATAATAAACCCTTATTTATCAAAGACGATTTATGATAGAGGACTCGGATCAACGTGAATCACCGGAAACGACAAACTTAGAAAATTTTGCTTTTTTCATCAGTTTATTGTGTTTTATTTTTTTGGCATTTGTTTATCGTTTTGTGCGAATACTGGGGTTCGCACTAGATAATGCTACCACCACAGCAAGCATCACCGCTTAAATTTTCCAGGTTTCGTAATTTTACCGTCCTTTTTCTAAGAAGAATCCATGGTGTTTCTTTTTAGTTTCGGAGCGAAAATAAAATTGAAGGGAAAAAAAATAAAGGGAAACCTAACAGGTACAATGCCCTTCCACTTACTCTCTGGCTTCAAATTACCACAGGCTTGTCGCTTATGGCAACCAAAGGACGAATGAAATCCAGGCGAGATTTGCTCGGCTTGTAACGGCGTAATCTACAGAAGACAAGACAAATATTCATTTAATTCATCCTGCAGGTTGTGCTTCAACAATTCACAAAACTCAAAGCCCTTACAATGACAGAAAACTATCGTCAGGGATGCTAAGTCAGTAGGTGTAGTGATAAGAAAGACGAATAGGCCCCCAACGTAGCTTGAGAAAACAGCCAACATTTCGCGACGCCTACACTGGTTTCCGCGCGAAACCACGAGCGCAGAAATTCCATACTGATGTCGTTCACTTCCCAGATCTGGGTAGTGCGTCTGATTGGTGGAAGCAAATTTTCCGCCAATCAGAAGCATCATCCACATCTGGGTGCCGTCGCGTCATCAGTATGGAATTGCTGCACTCCTTTCTCCGACGTCACTTCGCGGGAAAACGAGTGGCGGCGTCGCGAAGTGTCGGATGTTTTCTCAATCTACCCACAACGCTGTTACTGCAGTCATGGATAACTTGCGTTGCTCAGAGTATAGACTGACTACCCTATTCATAGTCTGCTACAGAGCCGTTTTTAGTGTCGTTACGCAACGCTCCTCCCCACTTAGTAGGGAGGAGCGTTGCGTGACGACACTAAAAACGGCTCTGTAGCAGACTACCCTATTCAAGGTACCAACCAGTTTTGTCATGGCCGCATGTCTAAAAACATTTTCCATCATTTTCCCTCGGCTCTGTGTGAACGCCGTCTTATCTACCTCGTAGCCAGGCGCGTTCTAGCAGATTCATAATCGAGAGCGACTGGGGCGATTTTGGTTCGAGCAAGGGATCATGGAAAGGGCTCATTTTCATTCGTCAACCCATTACAGCGTACTTTGCGCCAACACTTGACGTTTCCATGATCCATTGCGCGATGCTCCTTTCTCACTTGCAGTCGCGCTTTTTACCAAACACTTGAGACGCCTAAGGACAAGGCAGCCGTCTTATTCTGACTTAGACTCCTTGGTCCAAGTCAAAGTTAACCTTTTGCCGCAGCCCAGGAGTTGTTTAAGTGTTTTTACTTAATAAGTTAACGCACTAGATCGAAACTTTTTACAGCCTACCTCGCTGAAATACATCCCCGTTCTGATCTGCCCGGCGGAGGTTTGGGTCTTAGAAGCGAGTCTCGATGATGAGATTCAGCCTCGACCTCATCCAGGTTACCAAACTCCTGATGATGCGCGGGTTCGTCGGGTTCAATCGCCCAGTAGTCATCATAAACGTCCTCAGCTGCATCTTGCTGAACATCGTCTTTGTCTCCTCCTCCTCCATAGAGCTCGTTTAGGCTCGGTATTCTGGGCTCTGCCGCCAGCAAATCCGGCACTGCACCTTTCACAGGACTCTCTTCTGCAAACTCGCTTTTAGCCGCACCTACGTTCTCTCCAGTTTCATTATGATTTTCGACTACATTTTCACGGTTTCCTTCCGAGTAGAAGTTATCGTCTTCTTTCTGTTCTCTATGACTTGATAGTTCGCTATTTTCAGAGTCGGCTTCACTCTGATTACCAATATAAAATATACTATTTCTACGCGTGTCCTCATTTACTTTATTTTTATCAGATTCGCTCTCTTTCTCTTCCAGCGATGATATCTTACTGACTCGTTCCTCCTCACAAACTACCTTATTCTCTTGATCACCATTTGTGGAAGGGCTGTTCAGTTTTGCCTCATCTAACCTTTCATCGCCTTTCGAAGGAAGGTCTTGATTGGTTTCGGCCGGATTATCATCGACAGAAAACTCGGTATAATTATTTTCATCCCTTGGGGAGTCGACGTCCTCACAAACAGAATCTTCAGACAAGGATGACACGTCTTCTGCGACATGTGCTCCTTCAGTGTCTCCTAACACAAACTCTGCTTCACTGTGATGAATATCCGGACACGTGGTGACACCCATCGCATGGGAGCCAGCAACGTGAAGGGCGTGGTGTGAGTGGGTTGACCTGGTCCCCTCCTGCTTGTCTGAAGCAAACTCAGCAGAATCGAGCTTGTATTCATCCACGTCAGGGGGGGTTAATGGGGGTTCGTCGTGTCTGGCGACAATAGGCTCTTCATCCATCATCTGTTCCAGTACTGAGGGTACCCGGAAGAGTGCCCCAGGTCTTGCCTTCCCAGCCTCCTCAGCAGGTGGTTCATCTACCATTTGTTCTAGTACTGAAGGTACACGGAACAGACTCGGAGGTTTCGCCTGGGGAGGGGGCTCGGGCGAGTTCCCTTGCGAATTGTGGTCCAGCTTATGACTGCTCACTTCGTCGTGGGTTTTCCTCTCATCGCTGCTGTGTCGCACGGGTTCAGAATCCAGCGGAAGGTCGCGCACGAGCTTCTTAATGTCGTCATGGTGATGATGATGTTCAAACATGGCGGACAAATGATGGCTACTACCCATAGGCAGTTGCCGCTCAGTTCTACCTACATTAGCGAGTTCCTCTAGCTCCTCATCGTTCTCCGTTTCTACGACCGGAGGGGGCATGTATACAACGGGCTGGTCATCAAAGACACCCGGCGACCAAGGAGACACAAATCCCTCCTCCGGCTCCTCCTTCGCAGCTTCTGGATTGGAATCCGCTAAAGCAGGCTCCCTTATGAGGGGAATAGGGGTAGCCGGGGCACCGGCACCCGGGGAGGGAGATTCCTTAGAAACGGGTATCGTAGAGGGAGTTCCTTCTTTCCTGAAGTCAGATCCACCATTACCTACTTGAAGTGGGGTCATTCGCTGTGGACTTTCAAGCCCACCATCGTCTTCATTTTCCAACTCCATCCCTAGCTCCACGGAAGGTTGGTTTGTTGCTGTTTCCTGGTAATGCATCCCACGAGGGTCAGGAACAATTTCTTGTGAACGATCTTCATTGTCATTTTTTTCACTGTTTATTTGAATCTGTGGAATTGGTATGATGTCGATCGCGTTGTAGTCGGCAGGTTTGTTCAGTTTTTCATTATTTTTATTGAGATGTGCTCTCTGAACATCCTGCACAATAGCCGAGATCATCGCCGGCGTTTCCACATTTATTTCTCCGTTCATCGGCTTTTCCTGTCAAAAAAGAAAAACGCTCTTGGTTAAGGACTGATAAATTGGTCCAAAACGAAAATTTTTCTATAATTTGTCAACTTCTTCAATCCGTTGAGATAATTAGAAAGAGGAAGACGAACTACGCATGCTTGCGTGCATAGATTGAAAGCAGCCTTAAAGGCAGCCCCTTATTTGTCTTTCGAGTTTTAGTAGATCGCGAACACGCGTGAGGGTCGAGCAGGGACCCGCGTGGAACGAGGGCGGAAGCCCAAGTGAAAAAAGCAAAAACGAAAAAACAAGAAAATAACCCCTTTTCATCTCTCCGCCCCAATCTCTTCTGCTTTTTACCGTCAAATTACATTATCAGCTTTTTCGCTCGCAACGCGTGGCTGTGAAGAAAGAAAATAGACCTCGCACGGTCTATTGCGTGCAGTTTGACACTGATATGCTCTGATGACTCCTCACAAATCCTGCTAAATTTAACTTGGATCATGATGTCACCATTCAAGTTAAATTTAGACGGTTTTGTGTGCACGCATTTAAGAGCATAACAGTGTTAATATCTAACCGTCAATTTGCATTGACACGCTGATTTTAGACAAGGGGGCATTGTCGTCTTTTTCTCTTGGAAGATATATATCAACAAATCCTTTGATTTCAGAAGTGTTAATATATTCATAACGTCACACCTCACGCTAACACCATTAACTGACTGAAAAACGACAAGGACTAACACAAGCTGTCTGTCTCAGAGAAATGGCCGTTAAGGGAGAGTTGGCAGTACTTTCAATTGCATTATGCAGTTGATATAGGTGTTTTACAAAAAGGAATTTACTAACACCAGCTGCCTGTCTCACAGAGATGTCTGTTTAGGGAGAGTTGAAAGTACTTTCAAAAGTATTATGCTGTTGTTTTTAGCGTGTTACAAAAAGAAATTTACGATTTTTGACTACAGAATTTTGACTTTGGCCCCTTTTTGGTGCAAAAAGGTTGATGTCTAGCAGAGATTGTAGCTGCTCTTCCATTCCATTTGGTAAGGTAAAACAAAGCTTAATAAACTAACACAATGTTCAACAATGCTGAATTCTTGCCAATCACAATGATAAGTATTACAATAACAATTATTCACTTTTTCTTCCAACAAACTAAAAAAGAAAATAATCTTCCGCTCCACATACCTGCTTGACGGCCCTCTGAAGCCCATAAACACTTTGTGGCTTCAAAAAATGACCATTCTCCTTCTCCACAGCGTCCAAAACCTCCCTGATCTTCTGAATTACTCCTCTGTCTGATGTGCCCAACTTGTTCTTAGCATTCCCATTCTTGACTCCATTCTCTTTCTTATTTGCTTCATTGCCATGCTCACTGGGATCAGCCTCCAGCATGTCAACAGTGGATATTCTCTCTGATCCGTGCAGGTTTGGAAGGCCAGCCTTGTTGTCTACCGGTGTGGTATAGATCTGTCCCATGGGTGGGGTACTTGTGGTTGTGGTTGCCTGTGAGGCATCGCCAGGAGTCTTTTCCCAGTCAAATGGATCACTCTCTTTAATTCCCTTTTTTGCAATGGCTTTTTCAATGATTGAAATCAACATCTACAAAGAGTGGAATATGCTATAGTTTTGAGTTGCCCTAAGTCTTTGTTTCGAAGCGAGGCTAAGTACAAAGCCACTGAAATAAAAATGAAATTTTAATTCTTATGAAAATAAAACTCATTTTCACAAGAAAGGTTTTGCACTTAGCCTGACTTTGAAAGTGAGAGTTTTGCAAACTCAGAAATGGTTTATAACCTTGGTGATAATCTAGTGCAACCTGACAATGAATAATGAAGAAAAAGATAACACAAAGGGTATTGTAAATAGGCTAAACTAACCAAAAATCAAGCCCCACCTTATAATCTGGCTTATCTTCATATTTCAGCTTGCTAATGTGATCCAGGAACTGTTTGAAGCCTGTAGGCAGCGATTTCAAAAACAACTGATGGTCGTAGTTCTTCTTCATCTTGCCAACTTGTTCCTTATACAAAACACAGAAAGTTATGGTAATCAATTAATTTGGGCAATTTTATTTTGTACTTGTTGTGGTTCAGTTTTATCCTTGGCTTAACTTATTTTCTTCTGTTTCAAATTCATCATAACACACTAAAGGATATGATCAAATCACAACGCTTTCAACAACTAAAGTCGTTACATCAAACTTGACAATGGACACCTGGTTTGAGTAGGGTAACAAGCAGAATCAATAACGTTTGAAAGAATCCTTCCCTGTTTTACTTCTGTCAATTAAGGGAAAAACATAGCCAGCTTCTTAAGGTGAAGTAGCTGACAAGTTTTATTGAAAGCACGCATACCTTATCCTTGATTTTTCTCCATGGAAGATGCCCAATGGCAAACTCTGCCATCATGTAAAAGAATGACCACAGGTCATCTTGTCGTCCCATTTCCTGCCAAATAAACACACCAAACTGAAAACGAATTTATATGTGCTATTTTCGCAAACAAGTACTAGAGAGACTTCTCCAGCTATGCATATTTTTAGGGTTTAAACCTTTTGGAAGTATGAATTTACCATTCACTAAATTCTAGCAAAGATTACAGGTGTTGCATATTTTTCAGGATAGTTTGGGATGGGGTATGTCAATGAACAAAAAACAACACATTCATTAAAAGCCCTTTTTTCATTCTTCATTGATAACAGCAGTGAATGTGACACACACCTTATTCTCATGAGCATTTATTGAAGCATAGCGCACAGTGCCTCGGAAACCTGCTGAGTTCCTTGCCTTGAAGAAATGAAAAATTTTACTATGTCAGAAATAACAAGGGAGCTCAGGGAAGTAAAAGTAGTCGTACATGATCACTGGAAAGACACCACAGACAAAAAACAACATAGGCAACACTTTGATACTGGAGATTTGAACAGAATTAAAGAGATATTAACAGTTTACTCACTGCTCTAACTTCTCCACTACTCTTGACGTACTGTCTTGCCAAGCCAAAGTCCAACATAAAACATGAGTGGCACATTTCTGGAGTTGTACCCATAGCAAAATTGGACTGCAAACAAATAAACCAAGTAAATGCAAGTTAGTTCACTATAATAAATTATTATTCTATCGCCATTAGCACTAGGTAATTACTTCTCCTGTTCTAAGTACAGTGGAATCCCACATTACGGTCACCTCAGTAATTACAGCCACTTTTTTTTGGCCTGGCAAAACAGCCATACATTTCTCTATAAAAAAAAAAACGTTAATGTGGTCACCCATTAATAAGGCCAAGGCCACATTTTAAAATCCCAAACAGTAGAATCTCTTATAATTTCACCCCGTAAATACAGCCACTTGTTTGAAATATAGAAAATTAAAATGCCTGTGGCATGTCAATTTTACCGACCTGCAGTACTCTGAGCCTGTTCTTGAACTGTTTTCAGACTGCAGTAAACAAAAAGTGCACTTGTTGCGATTTTGAAGGTGAAGTTTAAAAGTGTTTTATTTACTGAAGGAAAATTTTGAGCAGGTTTTTACTGTACTCGATATCTTTATTTGGTTGTTTATAAATGAGAACAGTTGTTCAAGAAATGTGAACACAATGTACGGTGTATTTTGTCATTATGGTCCTCAAGTCATAAAAATTAATTTGAGCCTGCCCGGATAGTACAGCCAATTTATTTTTACCCATTGGTTACTGTATTAACGGGGTTCCACTGTAAGTTAATGTAATTCTGTTTTTAGTTGCCAAGGTGTATTATTTTTTTAAAAAAGTCCCATCCAGTAGTCCAGTACAAGTAGATATTTGTTCCCGGGAAAGTAACTTTCAAAGCTCACTTGCCCAATGGGCAAGGTCCAGGCAAGAAGTGGCCCTGGGCAGGCAAACTGTGACAGCTGCTTTCCCAAAGGACGAGCTGGAATTCTAGTTTTTTTCAAGCCCTGATTTGCACAAACAATATCCTTACTGGTTTAATGTCCCTGTGTAGGAATCCAGCTTCATGTATGGATTTTATGGACTTAAGAATCTGAAAACTAAGTCGTAACATGGTGCTCTGAGAGAACACTCCCTTGGGCTGACTCCGTCGCAGATCAGCTAGGTTACCGCCTTGTAGAGACATCACCAAGTAGTTGAAATTTTCATTCCTGCCACAGCTTATAAACTTGCAGACATTATTACAACCTTTAAAAAACAATAACAATAATTGGATTAGACTAGCACTGTCTTGATGCTCATCGAAATTTTAAAAAACTTTAAATTCACAGAAAATGATGCAGTTTATACCAGCTAAAAATGGAACCTATCCTAATTTTTTTTTTAAAATAATGCACAGAAAAATAATACATATATTTTTCTATTATTATTCATTATTGACCAAGCATCAAATTGACGTCAGGTTGGCTAGATATTGGCCAAGGTCTTTAATGTATATTTAGAAAAAGTCAATATAATGTATTAAACCTGACAATGTTTCTGGTTTTTCCAACTAAAATGGTGACCAAGTGAGATATAAATAAACTGCTTTCAAAATGAATTATTAGCAGTCCAGCAGTGGGAATTAATGGTTCAGAAACCTGACCACAACTGCAGATAGGAAGTCTAATCTACCATTAATCCACTTCACCAAACAACTTCCACTGCCTTCCTTTAGTGAAGAAAGAAAAGAAAATTACCTTGCAGTTTCTTGAGCACAGCAACCTCCATTTTCAGGACCTGTTTGGATTGGTTGACAGACTCCACCTTCAGGGCAACAGAATCTTTGCTTACAAGATCAAGGGCTGCATAAATCTCCCCTAAATTCAACAACAAAACAACACCACTTAAAGTCTGCTGATGACGATTGCCATTTCTATGACATTGGTCCCTTGAGCATCAAAGGAGTTTGGAATCTTTCTCAGAAACATCCAGAATTAATATTACCACTCCATTAGTATTGTGTGTGCAGGAAGGACATCACAGAAGTTTACAATCACATGATTAAAATGTTTCTTTACTTGTTGTTTAACATTCATTATTTTTACCACCAAAAAATGTTTCACTTCATGATCAGGTTCATGCCCAATGATTTTTTTGTTCAGTTTTAATTTACCTGCTGCTGAATTTTCGAATTTAAGAAATTGCAAACTTGAATCTGATTATTCAATGTATTTGACTACATGATTCGCTCACTATGCAAAACTAATAACTATTTAAACAGTAAGCTTGAGTAAGTCAACAAACATTTTATTTATTCACACACACCATAATCGAAAACAAAAATTTATTGATGATGAAAGATACACCTGATCTCTCCATCAGAAAAACCAACAACACAACAAATTGTGTGAAGTCTTATATTAATGCCTGTTAACACATCCTCCATGTTCAAAGTGCACATAAAACATTGCTTGCTGCCCTAAGATTTTGTATAGGCGCGATTCCTTATTAATGTCTCTTCAGGGACATGTGTTTTTGAAAAAAATAATTACAAAATAATCGAACAAAAACTCCAAGTTGAATTATTTCTTATTTGGTCCAGATTACAGGATTACTCTTTTTAGCAGTATGTGTTTATTGCTATACATTGGCAACTGCTTATGGGGTCGCATGTATTACAAACAAACAACTACTGCCAGAAGTCACATGCTCCTCATGTGCTACCAAACATGTTCAAGTAAAATTGCCGCAAGTATTTTACAGTCATTGTTAGCAGGAGTCACTGTGGCTACATGAAGATAATGGCTAGTATAATCTGGAAAATTGTGGTTTTAGATATTTTGACTACACTCAGAAGATTGTGGATTATAACCAACACAATAGGAACTATTAAATCTTAATTACAGTAACATACAGTAATAGAAGAACTGGAATGAACCATGTGCAATATCATTGTACTGTAGCTAAAATCGGTTATGATTTATTGACATTGGTGACTTTACTCAAATGCGTTGACTAAAGTTCATTTGTGAAGAAAAATGCTAATAATCAGCTCTAAGCAGGTGTAATAGAAAATTACTAGATACTTAAACATTATGACAAGTTTTCCAATAATTATTGCAATTAGTTGTCTTTATAAAGGAATTACAATAGCTAATATTATTATAGAAGTACTGCATTATTTTTAGTGACAATGAATATATGAAAGGACACGTACTGTACTCATTATTCATGCTATAAATTAAAATGATTTCACAACAAACACTCACCGAATCCCCCTCCACCAATCTTCTTGTCCTGTTTATGAAAAGAAAACATATATATAAGCTTACAAGGTCATGACCGCGCTCTCTATGCATATTGTAATATTGCAGCTTTAACCCAACAAAGCCAAACAGCAAAGTCCCTTGTAGACTATACGTTTTGTACTATTTGAAAATCATACACAGAGAATTAAAAATATGAAAGAAACTTGCACCCTCACATGAATAGTTAGGTCTGTTTTTGTTAGAAGTTGTACATTTCAGTCTATAGAGAAATGAGAATTGTCACGTCGTCTGTACAAGTGTTGACTCGATATCATTTAAAATTACACAACCCAGTTGTTATTAAGAACTGTCAAGCCATGCATTCACGACATTATTTACATTCGACAAGATGGCTAGATAAAATAAATGCATATGAGCATACGATTTCTCAGAGCGGAAATAATCTGAAGGCTGTAATTTCCTTTCGCCTTCTGCTTCCGCGATTAAAACTGAGTCAACGTTCTCAGAATGGACCCAAAACGATTATAAACAACACAAAATGAGCGCAGCTAATGTTAACAATAGTTTAACCACTGTAGGAGATTTGACTCGATGACTCATACAACCGGCATTTTGCTTGAATATCGCTACGTTACGAAATCTTTTCGATCGACTTCCTGCGTGTGGTTTAAGACTCGACGAGTGAACAAAACGAAATCTTTTCCCCCGTAGAATATAGATTATAAATTTGCTATGGAAAGCCTGTATTTGATTTTAGTTTACATCCAAAGAAGATTCAGCTGTTTATAGCACAAATACGCGATTTCCCAAACAGGTTTTTAATTGCGAAACAAAACTGACTGAGCCACGCTGGCGAAACCAGGGGAAAATTGGACGCAAAAAATGATCGTTAAATCAGCTTAAACTGCCACCATTATCTATAAAGGATCGAGTTTCGTTCTTGAACTTATAAAACAAGGAAATCAGCTTTAAAATGTCAAGGAAGCGTACTTACGATCTTCCATCGCTGCCTGACTATATCGCCCGGCGAAAGAAGATCCGCCGCCATAGAGCTACCTGCCCTTTATAACACTAAAACCCAGGAGAAACATTGGTGATTGTGTTCAGGAGAGAAATGATCTCGCCTTCCAGTCTCTATTAAACTACTTAAAAACTCTAAACCACTATAGACGATTCATATCACTTCTTGTTGAACGTAAAAGTCGCTGAATATCAAATACGCGAATTCGGCTTTCGGCCGCGACAATACAAAGTTCGTTGCTGTTATGTAAGGCAATCAAGAAATTTTCAGTCCTGCGGTCTTCTTCATGAAAATTGAGACTTTGTTCAATGTTTTCAGCGGTTGCCAAAAAATAAGTAAATTTGTTATGTCCGATGATGCGGACTGTCAATCGCAAATGGCAAAATGGCGCCTTTCATAATGAAAGTTTCCACACGTGATGTTTTTGATGCCAATTATTTGACTTATCTTGTAGAGATTTAGTATCGCCGCCATCAATGAACGGTGATGACAAATTTACAAGACTTCTGTGGATCTAAGAATGCATCACAATTCGTGTTGTGGAACAACGGTGACTTTGGCGAATGTTTCAAACTTCTTTGTCTCGTTTGTCCTGCAAATTTTCTCTTGGTTTGTTCCAGTATATTCTTTGCTAGAAGAAAATGGCAGACATTCGAGTTTCTGCAGCATCACTTGTATCTACTTACGAAGCTTCAGGCCTTGATCTGCGCGTTAATTTTTCTGGAAGCACTGATCGAAGTTTCATGCTCATGGTCTTTGAGGACTTACCATCCCCCAGTCTATCTATTATCGTCCTTCTTAATTGCCTTAGCTTGGATTTCAAATGCATTTACAGTGTGGAGAAACAGACAGGTCTTTATTTTAAGACGGTGTTACCCTGCTTTTCACGTGGCATTCATACTATTGGCTTTCCTTATGAGCTCTCTTCAAGTGTACTCTGTTTTCCATAAAATCCATGGAAATGATTTTGATTCTTTACTCATTCACGATTATGGCACCTTGGTGAGAATTTGTCTTCAAGTTATGTTTTTAGTTTTGTTAATTATACCAACTGCTTCCAGCACCTGTAACAGGATTGGTTTGAATGTAGACTCATCAACAACTACATGTAGGATTCAAAGTACGAGTCACACTGAACGAGAAGCAATATTAAGATCAGGTTCAAGAGGTACATTCTACAGTAGTACACAGTGTGTTACAGATCATCTTGGTGTTGCTGAAGAAAAATCAAACTTATTTTCCAAATTAACATTTTGGTGGGTGCGACCCATGATGCAGAAAGGTTTCAAGGGAAGACTTCAAAGTGCAGCAGATCTATTTATGCTACCTCAAAGTCTTTCAACAAAGAGGGTCAGATATTTGTTTAGTGACAATTTTGAATGCATGGATAACCAGCCAAATCAGTCAAATGAAGTGCTAGATGATAGCATCTCCGATGATCATGGATATACTTCAATAATATTTTTTCCTGGAACACAAAAAAGTGTTTCTGATCCAAACTTTAGACTGCGATATGGAAGCAGGTCTGTCAGAAAAACTATAAGTACCAATAGTGCAGACTTTTCTGAAAATGAAGATCCTTCTATTACAGTTCCCAAAGTTGCTGCCCAGAGAACCCTTTTAAGAGCTCTGCACAATTCATTTGGTTTGCAGTATTACTGTGTTGGACTCCTGAAGTTAACAGGAGATGCTCTTAGCTTTGCTGGACCTCTCTTGTTACATGCATTGGTTTCTTTTATGGAAAACAAGCAGGCAAGTGAATGTTTACCACACATAGGTATCCCAACTTAAGGGGAAATGTTTCCTCTATCTAGGGATGCCTGTGGCTTTGATTGCCCTCTCCAGGTTCAAGTCCTACCATCCCAATGGAGGAGGTGCGGGATTGATTTAGTGTTTAAAAGAACAAGGCATACTACAATTTACTGTGCTATCCACTGGATAGAAATTTATCCAGTGAATAGTGTTATGTACCTTTTGAACAACTTGCCTGGCCCCAGTTATTTAAAGGCTGGATAACGCTATCCACCGTATAAATCTCTATCTAGTGGATAAGACAATTGGTTTCCCTAATATTTATCTGCTGGATAGTGATTTATGTGGTGGATAGCACAATCCAATGTTTGAACGTACAGTGGAACCCTGATAATAAGGTCACCAATGGGCCAAAAAAATTTGGCCGTATTAATCGGGTGGCCGTATTAATGAGGGTTTTTTTTACAAGAAAATGTATGGTGGTTTTTCCCAGGCAGCCATAAAAAAGTGGCTGTAATAACAAGGTGACCGTATTACTGAGGTGGCCGTAAGGCGGGGTTTCACTGTATAAATGGGTCCTGGTAACATACTGCTAAGGATAACCCTGTGATGGACTAGCATCCCATCTAGGGGGAAATAACAATGCTCCTGGGTGCTTCTTGCTACAGAAGCTGGAGGAAGCTTTGAGGGGGGTTGTGTCACAAAAAGTAGTTATTGACCTTTGATTTTGGCCACGTATTCAGGTGATCTCTGTACGGCTATAAACTCCCTAGGGAGGCCAGCTGTACATGTAGGTGGGTCTGAGTGTACTGAAGTGTGAAGTTACATCAAAAGACTCAAAAGTGAAGTTAAATCAATCCACCAGATGCTAGTTAAGATAGTTTGGCTAAATAAACGATCTTATTTCTTCAATTGATCTTCAATGTACGTGAACACAATCAAGGATTTTGACAGTTCACGTTTCATGGAGTGCACTTCAATCATTATTCACGGAACAGTTTTTCAGTTCGTCACGATTCGTGGACACCAGTCCTTGTGGGCTCCATGGCTTGTGTGTACCTTAACCTTTTTTTTTTTGGCCTCTCCTCATTAAAAACTGCCTGAACTTATTTCACTGATGTGCACTGATGGGAAGCCTTACTACATTGACTATTTTCCAATTGCCCATAATACACTCTGTTTGCCCCCCAAATTTTGCATAACTTATTGTCTTAAAATGCTCTTGGGAAAATGCAATACTCCCAGGAGCATTTAAAAACAATGGTTTATGCAGAATTTGGGGGGCAAACAGAGTGTATTATGGGCAATTGGAAAATAGAGAATTGAACAATGTGCAACTTGTAATTTTCTCATTATATAACTCCATATTTCAGGAACCAATGTCTCACGGCTACCTCTATGCGTGTGGACTGTTTCTGACCACATTTTGCTCAGCATTCATTAATTCACAGTTCAACTATTGGGTGAGAAAGATTTTTTTTTCAATTTCAGTCAAGCTGTCTTTAGTAATGTTCAAAATAACATAAATCCAAAACATTTTTAAGGACTGATCTTTTTAAAAAAGCATATAATGTTTAATTTTTTGATAATTTAGAATAGGATTTATTGTGATATTTTTATAAATAAGACTGCTAATAGGTTTTTAATTTATTCATATTTTATTACCAGTGGGATCTTTTTAATTATTTTAATATTATGAATTGTAAAGCGCTTTGGTCAATTAGTGGAGTTAGCGCTATATAAATTATGTTATGTTATGTCATGTTATTTTATTATTATATATATTTTTTCAGGTGAATAAAATTGGTTTGAAGATTAGAGCTGCTGTGATAACTACAGTTTATGACAAATCTTTGTCTGTCAGCCTGACAACTTTGTCAACGTTTTCTTCAGGAGAAGTATAAAGTTTGCCTTAATTTTTAACACTCACCATTGATTGACACACCCATTTACTCTTGAGAGAAATATTTTATCAGGGTTTAGAACCTGTGGGGAAATATCAAAACAGAACACTTGGAAAATTTATGCAAGTGCAATGTAAAATTGTAAGCTAAAGGGTTATTAATTTGCAGTGGGAGCGCACTACTACACACTGCTATGCTGCCTCCCAATAAATAACTAAATTTACATTTGTTAGAAAAAAAGGCTTATTATTTATATGCCAAGGAACATAATTTTCTGCCATCTTTAATTCACCCTGAATTTTTTTCACAGGCATCAGTCCAAACTGAGGTTGGTTTGTTGTGGCTGAGGCAGTCACTCACTGAATGCCAAGAATAGGTGGATTCAAAGTAAATGATGGGCGCAGCTTTGCTTAAACTTTTATCCAGCTAGTGCTCACAAATTTCTATGCATGGTCTTTGCAGGTTGTAAATTTTATGAGTACAGACACTGACAGGGTGGTAAACTTTGCTCCTAGTTTTCATCAGTTTTGGAGTTTACCATTTCAGATTGCAGTGTCACTGTATCTTCTTCATCAACAGGTAAATAAATAATGCTGTTTGACTATAAAAGAACAAATTATGAATTATTGGGAGGCATTTTGTGACAGCTTGGTATAATTAACACTGTGATTTAAATTCTCCGTTTTTTGCTATTTAAAAGATCACAAAACTTTAATGTAATGCACCTATCAATGTAAATCCCTTGCGGGGGGGGGGGCGGGGGGAGTGCGGGCAAGGGGCGGGGATTTGATGCCTGAGACTATCCCCCTGTCAGGCTTTTGATCGTGTGAAGCGACCCCAGGGTCAGGACATTTGACTTTGACCGACAGAAGCCTGGTATCAATTCAGAAGCGGCTACGAAGTCTGCCCCTTGAGGCTTTCTGAAAGTCACGCTGTTGGAGAAAGGTATGAAGTTAATAATGTCTATTTTGAGAAAGGTTTTATCTTCAAGTTTCCATCTGATTGTAAACCTCGATTGAAATTGAATTCCACCATGAAAGTCAGAGGATTTTTTACGGGTCACTGATCCGACCTGTTCCCACATGTTGAGCAGATGTTACAAAGCATTTTACGTTTCATTGATATTATAATAGCCCAGTCAATCTTCCTGGAGTGATTTTGTTGTTCAAAATAGGAGATGCTAGTGGAGAGAGAAAATTCTTACAGCGAGTAATTGAACGGAGCTTGCGTCAACCATAAATAAAAGTAGTAAGAACATACTTTTGAAATATTCTTTTAATTTGTTTTATATTGTGTTATAGTATTGTTTGTTAAAATTTTTCCCCTGGGGTGGGGGCTTTTTTGACACTTTTGATCAACCTTTCGTTTCCCACCCTGGGGAATTTGATAAAAAAATTTCAAAATTTGTCAAATCCCCACCCCTTGCCCAGCCCCCCCCCCCCCNACTGAGCAAAAGTGAAATTTTAAGGTTGTATTCAATCGTTCATGTTGCCATGAAAACTACGAAAACGTCACATTTTACCTGTCAATCAAAATCTTTCATCAATTTATTTTTCACTTGCCAAGTTTCAGCTTGTGAGCTGCAA